CTGGAGCGTTTTGTGCATCTTATTGCTTCCCACGCAGCCATTGATCTTCAAGAGACGCCCAAGGTACGCTGGTTCACTGAAAATCAGGAACATACTAAGTGCGACATAAGTTTAAAAAAATACTTCACGAACTTTGCGAGGCAAGCCCGGATGTCGCACGAGCCATTGTAGGAACCATTCAAGAGAGAAACAAGCCGGTCCCACCCGAACAGCAGGTCAACGCGAGCACTGCCCCCTTAAAACGAAAATGGAAGCTAGACCAAGATCCCCCTTATCGTCCATCAAAGTCTACCAGGATTAGCAGATCTTCCGCATACCTTGCGAAATCCAGTCCCACCGCTGACTGTCGCGGTCTGGAAACAGAAAGGCAGATCAAGGAGGATGACGAAACTCTTCCAACAGTAACCATGGCAAGCGAAGACATGCCACTGATAGAGACTCCAACATCACGCGGGCCCGAAAACACCCTACCAGATGCTGAATCAATGCCGCCCGCCGGAAAGACCCTAGATGCAGGACAGATTGAGGAAAAGTCCTTCCCTCAACCTAAAATCTATCAAGAAAAAGTACTAGTGTCAGCTGAGAGCTCTAGTTCATCCTGTCAACCCCCAACAGATTCCTCTATGGAGGCATCGCCTGTCCGGGACTTGATTGTTGAGGCTGCTCGGACCCTCTACCAACTCAGCCAACACCAGGACGGCGTCCCAAAGGCTATACACAAACGAATTCTTCGGTCATTGCAAAGCACCCAGCCGGAGGCACTAGCCGCATCTACGAGTAACACGTGGTCTGATGGTTCGATATGGGTACAAGTACTTGAGATGGGATCCTCTCGGCAACGTCATGTTACTATTCTTAATATGCTGGAGTACATGGGGGCCTGGGAATGGTATGATGGCCAAGTACAACTGGCCCAAAGGACGATCTCCACCAAGAAGGGTCAGCCCGTGGATCGTCGAGGAGCTGCAATCCATGTACTGAATGAGATGCAGACCACTCGAAGGAGTGTGGAAGACCAGGGAAGGTGGATAAGCGGGGTTGGAACGGTTGCGTTGAACCAAAGTGAAGCAGGCCACGAGCTTCCGGGCAGTCCGGTCAGCCTTGCTGAGAGTGACCAGCGCCAGCGGAGGAAACTGATCAGCATGCAACTTAGCAGAGGCCAGAAGCTAAGCACGAAGCTGACTAAAAACCTAGGATTTGGGATACTGTTCAGCAAAAAAAACTGGTAAGGCCGGCATTGTTTTGATATTTCTAAATCCGCTAATAAAAGCCAGGGAATATACTAAGATGAGCATGAGGCGTCTGGACGACCTTATTAATTCTATCCAAGCAGACCCCCAACACATGAGGCTCCTTCAGATCCTTGGCCTCCAACTAGAGCGCCTTGTAAGCAGTGGCTGGCCCGACTTTCGTGATTTTATTACCCGTCTAATAGGCGGGGGGCTGATTTCAGAAGACGAGGCTCGGGAATTGCGAACTACCTTCCCATTAGAGGACGTAAGTAACCCGAATCATAAGTATCAGCACGGCTTGAATACTAAACTGAACCAGGAAGCTCTTCCCGCTGGCAAACTAGATACTGCCATCGACCAGTTGGTTGAAGGGGTCAAGGCCAGAGTGTTATGCCAAACCATACTTAGCCCCAACGACACTTTGGCCGTGAATGGAAGCATGGAGCTGGAATGTACAATACTTCAACACCTCCGTCCAGGCGTACGGCTCGATGCATGGACAATCCTGGCGGCCATGCAGATATCTGACCGGCCAGCATTTGTTCAACACGACAAAAGCATTCCTCTCGATGAGATTATTGCGATTGAACCAGTAAAGCGAATCCGACCCTTCAAACGGCCGCTAGCGGCATGGGCCAAGAAGATTTCAAAATACCGACGACAAGCTAAAGAAACGTTTGGGGACGTTATTCCATTGGTTTTCTTCTGTCCTATTAACCACACAGACAGCCACTACACGTTACTTGAGATTAATGAACGGGAGCGAGTGATTCGTCATTACGATTCGCTAGCTGATCGAGGCGCTGTTAACCAGACCCGGATGTCGAGATTGGTCCAGGAAGAATTTGGGGCCCTAAAGTTCTCCTACCAAGAAGCTGTAAGTGGATTCTATCCGTACTTTGTCGTATGATAAATAACATGAAAATAGCCTACTCCGCAACAGAATGATGCTTGGAGTTGTGGTATTAGAGTCGTCTGGACTTTCCAACGCTTGTCGAATGGTCTTCCGATCGGTGGGTGGAATAAGGTACTGAACCCGGAACCCATGATACTAGAGATAATAAATGGGCTAGTCACTTGTGTTGAAGAAAATGCCATGGAAAGATATAGACGTTAACGGGGTCAGCTAAATCAAAATAAACATGATGCTGCATCAGAGCCAGGCAGAGCGTTAAAATCGTTTGGCACAACTCTCTATTCAGACGTAAGAATATGCTCTAATTTTGAGCCCTACGGACCATAAATCACACCAACCCATAATCTACAGAACCATAGCTTTTCCGACTCTCACGTCCCTCCAATGCGCGACGCTCTAAGCCCTCTTGCCCGATTCTCGAACATCCTGTAAGGTGCCAAATTGATCCATGGTAAAGCTCCAGTTCCCTTTCTCCCAGACGGTATCGAACTTCGGTATCGAACTTCGTTCTTCTCCAAATAGAGATTTCTGACCATGCAGGTTACTCTAGTTAGAGTAGCCATCACAGTCAGGTGAATAGGGTGCGTAAAAATATTCAGGTGTCTTGGTCTCCCATGGCGGAGATGATCCCGGATTTAAAGAAAGTATCATTCGCGAATTCAAAGTGGGAAATTCACTCAAGAGGTCGAGAAAATCCTTCTGCAATCGAAGCTTGTCAACACAGTACGCGGCGTACTGAGCTAGCCAATCCAAAAGAGGATCTTGTGAAGGTAGCCGGTTAAAGGCTACGCGTAGAGCTGCGACAACAGCGACTAAAGCGTTGTCCTACAAGTTTTGAACCAGTATATTGTAAAAGTACATGAATGCCCTTATAGCATGCTGGCCCCAGTCAAGCTCTGTAATAAAGCACCGTGTTGCAAACTTTCCTTGCTGTGTTTCAAGTATTTCTCTCAAAACCCCGCCGTTTCTTGGCATCACTCTTGGCGGCTTCTGGGCACATCCCACGGCCCGTGCGACGGGTTGTAAGCGGCGTTTTCGGATCCCGACACAAGCGAAGAAGGGAATCCAGTCAGTACTGATTGGCTGGTGGCGATTTCGGGGGTCCATCATGGCAGCCAGAAAGGTCCCTGCTCTTGTATCAATTCCTCCGTCCCTTTTTGAGGGCCTTCCTTTTTTTTTTTTTTTTTTTTTTTCTTTTCTTTCTCTTACCCCCCTTCTATTTTTGATCAGGTACGCGTATCCGCTTTCCTTCTGAGGTACTAACAAGAGTGCTCTTAGCCCAAAGAGGGGAGGAAATGATGTCTTTAAAGCTCATGCTCCTGGGTCTGGAGGAGGTGCCCGCTCCCCTGTGTTACACTTCGCCTGACATACAAATTAGCAGATGCCAACTAGGTACTTTCTCTTGGAATTTTTGCTGACCCAATCAGAAGTTTCGCACTAAAAGTGCTTCAGAGGACCTTGGGGACGATGGGGTTAGCTAGCGACAGGCGTTACGACAGGCGTTACATCCCCTGGGAAGAGAGAGAGAGAGGGAGGGGTCTTTAAAAGGGCGAATGTTCACCTACGAGAGTGATCTTGAACCATCACATCCTCCGGATCTCTATATCTCTCTTTCTCTCCTCTGATATTTGATAATAAATCTTCTAGATTACGGATCGAGAGACATCACCATCATTGACTCTTTTGCCTTGCCCACGATGGAACCAAGCCTACTACACCCGTTCGTCGTCCAAGCCGTGAGCAAAGAAGGAGACGACGTTGGTACCTGCGAGACGGGTAACGATTACGACGGTCGGGTTGGGCTCCGTGTCTCCTCGATTTTCGTGATCCTGGCTGGCTCGCTTCTAGCGACACTCTTGCCTCTTCTAGTGAAGAGGTTCGGGGAACGTGGTGCTCATCGTCAGGTGGCTTTTGCAGATGCAGAAGGAGAAGGACAAAGAACAGGAGGGGAAGGGCGGGGAAGGACGGTATGGCCCCTGCTGCTCTTCATCAGTCGGTACTTTGGTTCAGGGATCATCATCGCGACGGCCTTTATCCACCTTCTCGCCCCCGCAGAGGAAGCACTGAGGAATGAGTGTTTGACTGGAGTTATTGCGGAATACTGCTGGGTGGAGGGGATTATCCTCATGACGATCGTCATAATGTTTATGGTGGAGTTCAGTGCGATGCGGTACACATTGCCTGGCGAGGGTATTCCAGCCAAAAGTGGCAACGAGCAAGGAAAGAACCATTACAGGATTGGGGAGGAGGAAGGTGTGCTGTCGAGCGATGATCTCAATGACCGATACCATCTCTCGGCGGCAGAGAAAGATCGACCCGGGAGCGACTACACGGCGCAACTAATCGGCCTCTTCATCCTCGAATTTGGAATCATCTTTCACTCCATCTTCATCGGGCTGACCCTCGCCGTGGCCGGCGGATCCGAGTTCACAACACTCTACGTCGTCCTCTTCTTCCACCAAACCTTTGAAGGCCTCGGACTCGGCTCCCGTCTCGCAAAAATTCCGTGGCCTGCTGCCTCGCGGATGAAGCGCTGGACCCCCTACATCCTGGCCATTGCTTACAGCGCAACCACCCCGATCGCCATTGCCATTGGCCTCGCGGTGCGCACCACCTACCCACCATCTGGCCGCACCACGTTGATCGTCACTGGTGTCTTTGATTCCATCTCGGCGGGTATCCTGATGTATACTGGGCTGGTGGAATTGCTCGCGCACGAGTTTATTTTTGGTGGGGAGATGCATCGGGCGCCCTTGCGGACAGTCTGGTCGGCTTTTGCGCTGCTGTGTCTTGGCTCTGGGCTGATGGCGTTGCTTGGTAGATGGGCTTAGAGAGGGTAGACTAACTATGTGGTGGGCAAAAACAAAGGGATTTGGGGCCGGGAGTGTTTTGGGCCGGGGGTGGTGGGGGGCGAGGTGGTTAGGCATTGACAGCTTGCGGTCAAGAGCTTTGTTAATAATTGCCTTAATACCTTCCCGGTCACCCACGCGGTGAAGTTATCCATGAAAGCAATCGCCCCCCCTCGGCTGTTGATCTGTCGTTGCACGAGGTCTGCGTTGAAGAAAAGGAATAGGATTGGCGATAGGGGAGAGCCCTGCGGTAGTCCAGCCTGTGGGAGGCTTTGTACCTCAGACCCTTGCCCATTGATTTGGATGGTCGCTGTTCGTTCCAAGCAGAAGGCCTCGACCCACCAGAGCAGCTTTTCTGGTATGCCTCGCGCTTTCATCCTCTGGAGTAGTCTTTCTTTGCAGACCCCATTGTAGGCTCCTTTGACATCGAAGCTAATCAAGCTCACGACCCGTCGGCCACGCCAGGCCGTGTATATTTGCTCTTGCAGGAGCAGGAGTGCCTGTTCCACTGATCGCTGTTTTTGAGCTCCAAAGTGACTGGTTGGGAGCAGGCCGTACGTCTCCACTGCGTGCGAGATTCTTTCTGCCACCACCGATTCCAGGACCTTGCCCAGTGTCGCGAGAAGTGAAATCGGCCTCCAAGCTTTTGCAATGGTGTAGTTCTCTTTGTTTGGCTTTTTGAGTGATATGATTTTTGCATGTCTCCACTAACTTGGTAACGTGCCCTCTTCCAGCAACGTTTAGAACAGGTCAAGAACCCTGTGTTTGACCGCGGGCCAGGTCATCTTCCAAACTATCGCTCCTGCGCCGATCGTTGCTTCTGCAGCCTTCTTAACCTTAATGCTTCGCAGATGGCAGAAGCAGCCGGTTGCCATAAACGAACCATCAAAAGACATCGCTCGCATGTGCGACTGTTCGGTAGCGTGACGGCACCTCCTAATAAAGGGGGTCGACCACGAAGCATCACACCGCTCATGATTCAAGTCCTTTGCGATCACTTACTTGAGAAGCCTCAGCTGTATCTGGATGAGATGATAGTCTTTCTATGGGATGAATTTGACGTTCTGGTCTCGCAATCTAGTGTTCGTCGTGCACTAGATGCAGACCTACGTGATGCCTACTTCCATTATATATCCGACTTTGCCTCTTATCACCTTGTTTATGTGGATGAATCAGGGTGTGATAAACGAATAGGCTTTCGAAAGACCTTGGTCTCGTGGCACCACGCCGTCTCAAGTTACCAAATTCTATCGTGACCAGCGGTACCAGATCCTCCCAGCATATGCTCAGGACGGGATTGTCCTATCTCATGTGTACCAGGGCTCGGCAGATGCCTCTTTTTTTGAAGACTTTATTAATGAGCTACTTCGCGATTGCAATCCGTTTCCAGAACCGAGATCTGTTATTGTTATGGACAACGCTTCCTTCCACCATTCTGAGAAGATCGAACAACTCTGTTCAGAGGCAGCGGTCAAGCTGTATTCGCCGGATTTGAATCCTATCGAGGAGTTCTTTGCCGAGTTAAAGGCTTTCATCCAGCGACATTGGCAATCCTTTGAAGACAATCCCGACCAAGGCTTTAGCACGTTTCTTGAATGGTGTGTTGATACTTTTGGTAGAAGAGAACAAAATGCGGAAGGACATTTTCGGAATTCTGGCATAATAATCGAAGCGTACTTGCATAACCAGCATTGTCTTGGCAGCCTGAACGAGTTTAAAAGCCCATTTGATTGGGTATTTAGCGTCTTAGAACCATGTGATTCAAAGCATTCGTTGTCAATGAGGGGCAGTCCATTTGCGGGGTGAACTCATCTGTTCTAATTCTTCGGCCGTGGTACCTTGGCGGTTTACTAGATTTAATAGCTATCTAACTCAACTTATTCTCTATCCATCTGAAGAGATTGGGGTTCGATGTGCAGCTTCACAGTACGTGTTTATAACTGCGGCCGTTATCGCAAGACTCCCAAGCAACCATGCGGGCCAGCAAAACGGGATAAGAAGCTCTGTCGTTCTGGCAACACAGAGGACGCCTCAACCACTGGAGCACCTCATTGCGGAATAGTTGGGTGTGATAAAAACGTCGTTAATTCGGCGTTGTTCAAACGAAAGATCAAAGGGGGACGCCTTATCTTGGATTTCTGGGGAGCACCATTCCCGAGTTATACCGCCAATGCCGCTGATGTTGATGATCACTGCATCCCCTCCGCTGTCAATGACTATATTTGAAGGTTTTACGTCCATATGAGTTTTCTTTGCCTTATGAAAGCGATTGAGCGCGGTTCCGATTTGGACAGGCCATTTCTTCCAAGAGTACTCCGTAACACGGTTTTCCAAAAGAATCTCCCGCAATGATCCGTTAGGATATGCCTTTAGCAGAATCCCAGTCACAACTAGTGGCCATCACTACCCCTCGAAGTCATATCAGGGTTCCGAGATGCGGCGACCCCCTCAGCCTGGAAAATATTAGGCACGCCTGCAAAGTACTCGAGATTCTCTAGCTCCTTCCGAAAGACATGAGGATCGCGAGGTTCCTAGAGAGGACGGTTAACTATCTTGAGAATATATCGTACCCCGTTGTGGTAAACCAGAAATACTCCGTCTGAGATTTCCGTGTCGCGTGTCAGCTCTTCATCGTGAATTTTTCGAAAACAAGGGTAATCGGCGGCCGTAGGATAAACGACCCGAAGGAAATCTTCTCGGATTCTGTATTTCAGGAGCATATTGAGAACTTCTATCGAGCCCAAGGTGCCAACTAATCCGGCCTCTGGATTGTGCTTTGTTACTGCCGTGTCTCCTTCCAGTATAAGCTCAGTCACGGCGTCAGCGAAGAGGGGGATTGGCTCGTAGTTGATTCGCCTAACAAGGTCTTGGAATAACACGCGGCGTTGACGCTTCGAAGCCTGCTGGATCTGGCCATTGTTGAGAAGGTTAGCGATTGTACCGATCAGGGTACTGTGATCCACCACCTGGTATCCTTCACAAAGTAGATCAAAGTCTACGAACAGCTGTTTGGTCCTGAAGGAAGTCCCCGTCCTCCGAATATAATTTGACCTCAAGATGGTTTATTGACATGGTAGGAGCGGAAGACGGGGTGAACGTTTGTTTTCTTTGGGGACCAGTGTGGCCGTTGAAGCTGGTCTTTGTTCTGCCGTTGCGGGCGGTCAATTAACTAACTAGAAAAGCAGCAATGACTAAGATGATGAATTATGAATGCTGATCTAAGCTAGGACTTCACATATGCATGCATAAAGCCGATCATCCACGGATCTCGCTGGAACCTCATGGAACTCCACACGCCCGGACATCGTTCATTTCGATTGGCTAGGAGCAATCAACCCGTTCACGTGTTGGTGTGCAACCAGTACGAAACCGGCGACCTAACACCGACCTCCAGCAACTCAAATTTAACAGCACATCCACCTCGTACAAATTGAACTGAAAGCAAAAGCTCACTTTAACAATGGGACGCGACTGTTGCGGTCCGTCGGCACGTACCCCCCAGCCTGATTTTATGCCAATCTCGGCTCCAATTAAGGAGGCAAGCAGTTGCCCGGACGCTTGCTGCGTTAGCGACGACACTGAGCGTCTTGACACCATGGTGCCGGGTCAGCGACAGCCCACCCTGGAGAAACCAGATGATGGCTGCTCTCCCGGTGAGATCATGGACAGTCAAACCGAGAATAACACGGATGCGCCCTACTGTTGCCGTGGCAAAGTCCACCCATGCTGCGACACGTCTTGCCTTGACCGCTTAGCTATGCGGGAATGCGAAATGAGTGCCGGGGCTGCCCACGGCCGAGACGGTCAGCCCACCAGTGAGTAGCCGCTCTTTAGAATGATTTCTAAAAGCCTGCTAACCCCCTCCTCAGCTTGCGGTGGAGCCGACCCCAAGGCATGCAGCCAACATAGTCTCTCTGTCCTCGACCGCTATGGCGCCACTCTACAAGCCCTGGGATGTATCTGCCGCGCGCTCATCGCTCTTGGCCAGGAAAGTTGCTGCGAAATCCGCGAGCGCTATTCCCTGGACGGGAAACAGTGCTCCAAAAAGTCATCTGTTCGCTCCCTTCTTCGCAATTCACTGGATTCCTGCAGTAGCAACGACGCCGTCGTCAAGGACCAGGCGGCCCAGAAGCGTCTTCGCCTACGAAGGGACATTGGGGAAAGCGCCAGGTCTATCAAGAATCTGTTCGTGGATTCCTGTGTTGTCTCTTCTTGTTCGGAGGACAATCCCATTAAAGAGGCGCCCGTCAAAAGTAAGTGCTCGAAGCCGTGTTGCTCTGAGGGCAAACCTGCCAAGGAACCTTGGCCAAAGAGTAACTACAGCGACTCTTGCTGCACGGACGACATGGCTATAAAAGAAGGCCCAAAGGAAACCCAGTGCTCCTGCTCTTGCCGCTCCGAGGACCCGGCCGCTACATCTTCATCCGCCGAGTCTTGCTACTCCTTCAAAAAGCCCGAGAAGCAGCCTGCTGCCCAGACTGGGAGCCTTGATTTTGGCTGCTCGGAGACGTCCCATGTCAAACAATTTCCCCCCACGGCCGGCTGTTTCAGATCTTGTTGCCCCAGAGACAAGCGTACAAAAGACATTGACACCAAGAGCATTCATGGGGTTTCGTGCTGTTCTAAGGACAATACCGTTGTCGCGCCCCCTACCAGTAAGGGGGCTGGATCTTGTTGCAGAGCAGCTAAAAATACGATCATCAGAAAGCCGCCCAAAGCCGCCGCCTCTGGCTCTTGCTGCAATCTACAGACGCAGGATACCATGGAGCCTCCAAAGACTAACTCCGCAGACTCTAGCTGTGCAGAAAGACAGCCGGTCAAGCTTCAAGTCTCTCGCGCAGATGCTTGCTGCTCCTCTGCTGCCTTCAGTCCTAGTGTAAAGACTAAGCGAGCTCCGATTCAGGATATCGCCGACATAGAGAATCAGGGTACCGGCAAGGAACATGTTGTTCTCAGTATCTCTGGCATGACGTGTACTGGTTGCGAGACAAAACTCAACCGAACGCTCGCTACTGTCCCCGCCGTCAAAGACCTGAAAACCAGTCTGGTTCTTTCACGAGCCGAGTTTAACATCGATCTTTGCCTCGGCTCAGTAGAGGAGGTCATGAAGCATCTGGAGCGAACAACTGAATTCAAGTGCGAAAGAGTCCAGAACCAGGGATCTAGCCTGGACCTTATCGTCCCCGATGGGCCCTCGAAATTCATTAGTCAGACATGGCCGGACGGAGTTATTGATATGATGCCCGTGGACAAACAGATCGTGCGAGTCGCGTTCGATCCGAAGATCGTGGGCGCTCGAGACCTCACCGAGAAGATATGGGGTCCGCCAATTGAACTTGCTCCTCCGCGCGGTGACCCTTCGCTAGAGGCTGGCAGCAAGCATGTTCGACATGTTGGATTCATGACACTTCTCTCCGTTATCTTGACGATTCCGGTTCTGGTAATGGCATGGGCTCCGCTTCCTGAGAGGGAGGTGGCATATTCCTCGGCTTCGCTCACCCTGGCCACTGTTGTTCAAGTTATCATAGCAGGACCTTTCTATCCCAAGGCCCTGAAGGCTCTCGTTTTCTCAAGGGTTATCGAGATGGACCTCTTGATTGTCTTGAGCACTAGTACTGCCTACATCTTCTCGGTGGTCGCCTTTGGGTACCTCATTGCAAGAAACCCCCTTTCAACTGGTCAATTCTTTGAAACAAGCACTCTCCTGGTTACCTTGATCATGGTTGGTCGATGGGTTGCCGCTCTTGCTCGTCAGAGAGCTGTTGAATCCATTTCTATCCGGTCACTTCAGGCATCCACAGCTATCCTTGTCGACAAAGGGAGCGGAACGGAACGGGAAATCGACGCCAGACTTCTTCAATATGGTGACACCTTCAAAGTTCTTCCTGACATGAGGATCCCGACCGACGGCACTGTTATCAATGGGTCGTCTGAGGTTGACGAATCCATGCTCACTGGTGAATCTAGACCGGTGGAGAAATATCCCAAGTCTGTGGTGATAGCTGGGTCTATCAATGGCCCTGGAGTCATGACTGTTCGCCTGAACCGTTTGCCTAGCGATAATACTATTAATGCTATCGCTGCAATGGTTGATGAGGCTAAACTGTCGAAACCCAAGCTGCAGGATCTCGCAGACCGGGTAGCATCCTACTTTGTCCCGGTTGTTGTGGCATTGACGATCATCACGTTCGTTATCTGGGTTGCAGTGGGCGTGACTATCCGTGGATATGATGGGTCCGAAGCTACAATCCGGGCTGTCACCTATGCCATTACTGTCCTCATTGTGTCTTGCCCCTGCGCTATCGGACTGGCCGTTCCTATGGTCATTGTAATTGCTAGCGGAGTGGCGGCGGAAAGAGGTATTATCTTCAAGTCCGCAGATGCTATTGAAGTCGCTCATAAGACATCGCACGTCGTGTTTGATAAGACTGGGACCTTGACTCGGGGAAAGCTATCTGTCGTCGCGAAGAACTGCGTCGACGAAGACAAGCTCCCGCTTCTTCTAGGCCTCGTCGAAAACAGCCGACACCCAGTCTCAGTTTCTGTGGCTGCTTACCTTAAGGATACTGGAGTTATGGCCTTAACTGTTCCTGAGCCTAAGAGCTTTACTGGTAAAGGTGTCGAAACCACCGTGGGCGGCCGGAGACTCCAAGCAGGCAATTCCCGCTGGCTGAACTTATCGGAACATGAACTTGTTCAACCAATGCTTGCTCAAGGATACACTGTTTTCTGCTTTTCTATCGACAATGCGTTATGTGCGGTCTTTGCTCTTGAAGATGAGCTTCGACCTGACGCTGCGGGGACGATCAAGACCTTGCAGAAGCGTGGTGTCTCGGTACACGTGGTTTCTGGCGACGATGACGGAGCTGTTCAGACATTAGCGTCCAAGCTTAGCATTCCTGGCAACAATGTTCGTTCTCGAAGCTCGCCCGCCGACAAGAGGGATTACATCCAGACGCTCCTTGGTACAGGTGCAGACCGCAAGGAACCGGTTGTTGTTTTCTGCGGTGACGGCACCAATGACGCCGTTGCTCTCGCGCAGGCTACGATCGGCGTCCACATGAACGAAGGCACAGATGTCGCGCAATACGCCGCGGATGTGGTTCTCATACGGCCTTCTCTGGCTGGCATCACCACCATGATGGACTCCAGTCGGAAATCTGTCAACCGCATCAAGTTCAATTTTGCATGGAGCTTCGTGTACAACACCTTTGCAGTCCTTCTCGCTGCGGGTGCTTTTGTCAATGCGAGAATTCCTCCACAGTTTGCGGGACTAGGAGAGTTGGTGAGTGTGTTACCAGTAATTGCCGCCGCGTTGCTTCTACGCTGGCCGAAGACCTAGGCACGGAGAACCATTATTGTAGGAGTGACACCGGCTGATTTCATAAACTCTCCTCGACGTACAATTGAGAACATCGTTCTGAAGACGGGATGGGACATCTCCTATTCATATTCAAGCTCGGCTCGCAATCGCAGGTTGCTGCAATTCTGTCGTTATCGAAGGTCGTTGACCTAGCCTCAAGTGATGTAGAGGCAAATTCTAAGACATTCATTAATGTGATTATTCTTTTGAACACGCAGCCTTGCAATGCTGTGCAAGTCGTTAGTTAAACTATCGTCCAATTGTTCAGCGGGTTCAAGCGCCACGTGTTCAACCTCATGTTAGCAACTTTCACATAAAGAGATTCCGCCATGAGGGATTCCCTAATAACGATCACATTGTGAGGTTTATTTCCAGTTATATTTCAGGAATGATATGCTTTACGTGTATTAACAGTTATGAGAGGTGAATTGTAGTATATATTAAGATTCAAGAATATGAGAAAACAAACCTAGCAGTGAAACAATTCCACGACCTTTTGTAAAGATTTCGTGTGCATAGGTTTTATGCAAGCTTACCTAAAGTTTATGTAGAAGCACAGCGAACCTGATTAATAGTAGCACTTTTGCCACTTATTGAATTCTACGGGGCGTGCCTGGATCCAATCTGAACCATGGGACTGAGTGAGGATACCGATGGACCTCGCTTGCCAGCACCATGGCCTGTGTGCGAAGCACGCGAAGGGTAGTTTGTACGCTCACCAGCACGCCAGCCAAATGACTAAGTGGCGATTTGATATATCGAGGGATACTGTAAGATGAAAAGGTTGCTTCCCGCATGTTCCTAGTTCGTATATAATCAAGAGATAACTAAATAAATGATTGTTTTTGATAAAGCGTCAACTCGCCTTCTTGCTGAGAGTCGAACACCAGTAGACCTGTATCGCGCCCTGACTTCTCCCTGGGTACTGCTTCGAGAATACCCTCGTCACATCTGACCATGATCGACCTTCGTCCTTCCTCAGCTTCACTAGGAGGTCCACCTCTTTCGTGGACCATGGCATACCCTTTCTCGAGCTCTTTTGGACACTCCTGCAAACACTTCGACTTTGGTCGATCTCAGGCCGGGGGCTTGAGCGACGGCTTTCCCGTGCCTTCAATTCTTCACATGCTGTTTGTGAGGTGTCAGACATGCAGTGAGATAGTGCACCTTCAAATAGCCAGGATAGAAATTGCAAACGGTCATTGAGTGGTAGAGACGTGAACTGAGACCGAAGGGCAGCAAAGGAATCTTCCCTAGGTGCTGACGTGGAGCGAACTCGAGGTGGCTTGCGAATTCCGCCGTCTGTTTTTAGTGTTTTTCGCTTAATTTGGTGCTTTCCATGGCTATCAGGGAAAGACTGGTCTGGTACGGTGTCGGGCGAGGGAGGGTGCATTCGTTGGCAGCCATAACGAATTTACTGAATACCGCCATTATCACTACCATCCCTTTCGCCAGGCTCTTCAAAACGGCTAGCTGGACTTCTGAGAATGGCTGGAGGTTCAGGATACAGGCAGGTTGTCTCCGGATTAGTGATGCCGTCTGCTGGGGGAGCATGTAGCTGGAGGTCGTCACTCTCCCAAGGCCCGAGATTGGCAAGAATTACCGGATCAATGGGGATGTTGTCTTGGGGCGAGTCTGGTATCCTGAAGAAGTCCTCTAGACTATCGGTCGAGCTAGATGTACTTGGAGACGGGGCACTACGCGCTGCGTCATCATCCTGGAATCCAGGCGGCTCGGTAGGGGTCCTAGTCTCGTCCTGAGGATAGCAGGGGCGGATCAGATCCGGAGCAGGAACATGTGGTCCAGAACTCCGTCGAGACGCGGTACTACGCCCGAATGTCTCTGACTCCAGCTGGGTGTTGGCATTGACATGCACGCATACTTCGGCCGGCGGTCGCGCCGGAAGGTGATGTTTGGGAGGCGGCAAAGTGCTTGGAAGTAGAACATGACAGGGCTCAGAGTTAGGGGTATTTGAAGTTTGTGGGGAGCACGCATTGAGTGTTCTGTGTGGTGGATACGGTTTCGCGGGAAGGGGAGTCCAAGGCTTGAAATTATTTATCTGAAATGCAGGAAGCATATTGTGGGAATCGGGATAGTTTTGGAGGTATAACACGTCGGCAGAGATGCGATTTGAAGGGCGAGAGAAAGAACGGAACTGGAGGAGGAAGAGCAGGCTGCGGAAGAATCAACTTGAGATGCCCGAAAGTCTCGTGGGCCCCAATCGCCCCCTTATACCTCCCTCCTAGGTCCGTTACTGTCCAGCATCGGCAGAAGCGGCAAGGTAAAATTCCCTTGCCCGCAAGATCATGACCAGTCTGCTGACCTGCCCACACTCACCTGCGTACGCTGGGCTGAAACCAAGATCTGGTGCCCGGCCCCAATCGCATCTCTTCACTGCGATTCCAAGCGTCGCATGCCCAAGACACGGAAATGAAACGGATGCGGCAATTTTGCCATTGGCTGGTGAAACAAGACAAGGATATGTGATCAGATCCTAGTGGGGTCTGGAAGATGGCTGTGGGGGGAGAGATGCAACCCTGTTCACCCGAGCGGCACCGGCAGGCTGCGCGACAAGGGTGGTAGCTGGACGATCAAGAAACTGCCCTCCCCATGTCAGATCTCGGAAGCCCATGGCAAGCAGTGAACCAGGTTCCTCATATCGAAGACTGCATCGAGGTAGAAGGAAGGGGATTCAAAAACGACGCGAGGGAAAGATAAACGGGCTGACAGGAAGTGTGAGCCAAAAGACTCCAAGGTTGCTGAACGCCGCGCGAAAGGCCCCCAAATCACAAGAGTCAGTGACTGGACAGAATCACAAAGAAGGTGGATGGGCTCATCAACCAATCGAAGTAATGGTCACAAGGACTTCATGTCTCAATCGTCTAAATAACCCGTCGTCGACGCCGTAGCTGAAGGGGGCGAAGCGAGGAAGGTGGAGATGGCGTCGTGCTGGAAAAGGAGCATGTCCGGATAACGCGGCATCTTGAGGAAAAAGCGGGCAGTGCACTGGGCGCCGTGGGACGGGAAGAGGGAAAAGTGGAAGAGAAAGTGCGTGGTCGTTCGAGGGAGGGAGGCCGGGCTTATATAGATGCAACGGCAGCGTTGGGGCGGCAGGGGCAGGCACGTAAAAGCGACAAGGCTCCACGCTATCCTCGAAACGGCCGGCGCTATACCGCAAAGGGCAGTGGGATGCCCGTCGACGGCAGGCGGTGGCGGGCGGCAGGCGGACGGTGCAATGGCGGCCGTTTCCGGCGCCCCGCTAACCGTGTCACCGTATACTAATAGCTACATAGAGGACGACCTACTACACCTTATAGTCTTATACCTTAATTCAATACTCCAAGGACTATGGAGTATAGAGTCATCTATAATACATTCCCTAACCTAGAATAACCTCCGCGAATTCCTCCTTAGATAGCTAGGAGATCTCGCGGACTATCTACACACTACATAGAGTAAGGCCCTTCGCATGTAAAGCCTAGAGGGTAAGAGTAACTATGCCTACCTATAGTAATAGCGCGAATAGTAGTTAGAATTAGGCAAAGAAGGTTAAAACCTTAATACCCTCCTTTTATAAATATTCTTCGAATCATTCCCCTAGAGTATAAAGTAGAAAGTCTATAAATAACTAAAGTTCCTAACTACTCTCGCGGACCTCGTCTTACTAATCACGAAATTATGACCAAGTATTCTAATACTAACCGCGAAACCACTACCAGTGAAGAAGGATAATAATAGGTAAGGGAATAAAGGATATTCTAGGTTACCCCTATTCTAGAGAGCTCGCGGTGGGGGTCACTTTACTTATAGAAAAATAGGCTAATACTAAGTTAGACACCTACTACCACGAGGTGCTAGTAACCATCTATAAGGATGCTTCTATTACGGGAAACTAGGCCATTATAAGCCTAATTACCTAGACCTCGCGAAGGATAATAGCAAGGGCCAGGCCTAATATAAGGCGCCCGCGACTATAGTAGCTATATCCACACAACTAACCCTTACTAATAGGGAGTAGCTTATCACGGAGAGGATTTTCCTCCCCATGAAAGTAACCCTACCTAGTAGGACTACCATGGATCGCGAGGCACTTATAGATAGTAGGAGTAAAGTTAATATAGTTCCTTCCTTACTCGCGAAGTAAGCAGGATGGAACCTTCTACCCTATTAAATCTTTATATAGACTATAAACAAGGGGCAGCTACGCAATAAAGGAGTCACAAAGGTGGTTTTCTAACTTTAAGACTTACCAGGCACCTAGAAGGAGTTTAAGGTGCTCGTGGTAGTATCCCTAGACATCACGCAAGTAACTCTAGGGATACTATAGCTAAAGATTTATAATCCTAAGACCCACTAGGCTAAAGGAAAGTATATCTTCCATGAAGATCCTCTAAAAGTAGAAAGCATATCTATTAAGGATTTCCTAAACAACATCCGCGAAGACCCTAGACAGGTGTTCTAGGTTAGCGTAATAGACGTAGAAAAGGTGATTACAGGCGAGGACCTACTAACATGGTATTAAGACCTCGCGGGGGCATTCTCTAAGGAGGAAGTAAGTAAGCTCTCTCCTCATTATAAAGGAGTAGACTTAAAGATTAAACTAGAGCTAGGTAGGGAGCCTCTATTTAGGCCCCTCTACTACTACTCCCCACAGGAATTAGCTACAATTCGCGAGTATGTCCAAATTATACTCGCGAAGGGGTGGATAAGGCCTTTAAAGTCCTCTACGAGCACACCCCTACTATATGCACCTAAGAAGGATAGGGGGATCCACGTGTGTATTAACTACCATGGGTTAAACGTGATATCCCTAAAGAACCACTACCCCCTCCCTCTAATTAATAAGACAATCGCTCGCCTGAGTAGCGCGAAGATCTTTACATAGCTTAACCTTCATGATACTTACCATAGAATACGTATCACGAAGGGGCATGAGTAGAAAACAGCCTTCCACACAAAGTATAGACTATTTAAATACTTAGTAATACTATTTAGGCTTACTAATACACCCACGACGTTCCAAGTATATATAAACTAGGTGTTTCGCGATCTACTAGATATCACTATAGTAGTCTACCTAGATGATATTATTATATTCTCGCAGGATACGAAATCACACCAGGGTCATGTCCACAAGGTGCTAAAAAGGCTGCAAGAAGCAGGCCTTTACTATAAGTAAAGTAAATATACCTTTATAACATAGTAGATTAACTTCCTAGGGTATATTATTACACCCTAGGAGGTTAAGATAGAACCATCACGAGTAGCTACCATCCATGACTAGCTAATACCAGAGATAGTTCATGATATCCTCGCCTTTTTAGGGTTCGCGAACTAGTACTAGTGGTTTATACACTCCTATGCGAGTATTACTATGGTACTAATAGATCTCCTTCACAAGCCTAAGGATAGGCTAGTACGAACTATTAAGGATAAGGGGAATATCATGACCCTAGAGGCTCGCGAAGCCATGGAAATCCTAAAGGAGAAGTTCATAGAGATAGTTTACCTAAACCACTTCATAGAGGATCTACTAGCTAGGCTAGAGATAGATACCTTAGGTAGGGGGCTCTATAGAGTTCTTACCTAGTTATATCTAGATAGGATATAGAGGCTAGTAGCCTTTTTCTCATGAAAGTTATCTCAAGTAGAGAGAAACTACGTGATAGGTAAGTAAGAGTTACTTATAATTATAGAGTCCTTTAAGGAATAGAGGCACTACCTATAAGGTAGCCACTATAAGGTTAAAGTTATTACTAACTATAAAGCACTAAGTATGTTTTAGTCACTAATAAAAATACTATCATGAATGCAAATTCACTAGTCCTAGTTCCTAGCAGGATTTAGGTTCTAGATTACCTATCACGTAGGTAAACTAAACCCTGTAGATAACCCCTCATAGAGAGTTAACTACCTAAGAGAGGGTCAACGCGAGGAAGACCAAGGTAGTTACGTGGAGCAAGCTAAGAACAAGCTACTCGTGTAATTAGGGCTTACAGACGCGCAAGGGACCCTAGGGGCATCCCCCCACAGGATAGACGCTACCCACGTCATGGTGGTCTAGGCTTCGCGAAGGTTCATGCGTGAACTAGAAGCTAGTAATATCATAATTATAGAAGGTCATGGACCTTAGATATTAGGGCAAGAATAGCTCACGACTATAGCCGTGGTCACTATAGATAACCTCCTAGAGATAGAGGTACCACACAAGGAAGTATAGCAGGCTTGCAAGGAAGAAGAGCTATTTTAGAATAACCCTTTATAATACCTAGTTAAGAGTATCCCTACTCTCCTATTACAAGACGACCTTGCAAGGAAGGTTATAGGCGCCTTAAGTAACTATAAGGGTCATGAGAAGGACCCTAACTAGAAGAAGAGTAATCCCTAGCCTTAGGTTAGGTAGGAATTACGAAAGGGACTTCTCTATTACTAAGAGAAGCTCTATATCCTAGACTATTATTAGCTATAGATAGAGATCCTTAAAAAGCTATATAATAACCTAATAGCAGGTCACTTTATAGAGGAGCAGACCTACGAGCTAGTCTTACAAAGGTTCTTCTAGCTAGATATATAGAGATTCATGGTAGATTACTACAAGGCTTGTGGTGTCTATCAGGGCTCGCGTGTTATTAATAGTAAGTAGCAAGGCCTGCTTAAACCCCTACCTATCCCTTGCGAGCCATGGGAATAGATTAGTATAGATTTTATTACTAATCTACCCGCGAGCATTAAGTTTAAGGATTTAAGTAGCTCACAAGAGGCATATAATACTATCCTTATTATTATAGATAGGATGAGTAAGATAACACACTTTATCCCTACGTGGAAGGCTATTACTAGTAAGGAACTTATATTTCTAGTCATCCACAAAGTATTTCGCCTTCATGGGGTGCCCGTGAATATAGTCACTAACTAGGGAAGTATCTTTATAAAGGGCTTCTAGTTAGATTTTATCTACTACTTATAAATCAAGCACTTAATAAGTACCGCGTACCATCCCTAGATAGATAGCTAGATAGAAAGGTTAAATAGTATTCTTAAGTAATACTTGCAAGGCTATATTAACTTCTCATAGGATAACTAGGTGGACTATACCCCTCTTATAGAGTTTATATATAATAACTCGCGACAGGCGTCTATAAAATCCTCGCTATTTTAGATCCTATATAGAATAGATCCACAAGTAATCACACTCGACCTCTATATAGGAGGAGAGGTAAGCCACGAAGTCAAAGACCGCGCTACCTATATCTAGGAGATCCGCGAAGCTGCGCGCGAGAATATCACAAAGGCCTAAGAATAACAGGCAAAGTAGTACAACGCAAAGCAAAAGAAGAAGACCTTCAAGGTTAGTAAATATATTTAGATTACTAATAAGAACTAGTCGCGAATACGCCTAAATAAGAAGCTTGATTAATTGCAAGCAGGGCCTTAATAGATAGTTAAGTACATAGGCAAGAACGCCTATAGGGTAGAGTTACTCATGGGACTAAAAGTCCATGATATCTTTCATATTTTAATACTTCGCGAATACTAGGAAATAGAAGGTGTAGATACTCGTGAATAGTTTAAAATATAATTCACGAGCAAGGACGACTGTAAATATAGGGTTAAGAAGATCCTAGGGCTAGTAGAGAACCCTATAAATACTATTATTAAATAATTAGGTTATAAGGAGACTATAAAGGAACCTCTTATAAACCTATAGTATCTACAAGCCTACAAGGAATATTTTACGAATAGAAAAAACCCTAGTATTATTAATAAAAAAGGAAAAAAAAGATAGAAAAACAAAACTATTATAAAGGGGAAAAAATTATGTTCATAGTAAATATAGGACTAATTTTCTACTACACAGGCCTTACGCGACTAGCTATAATAACCATCCTATTCCCTATTACAAGGTAGACTACTACTCATAGAAGCAAGAAGGCTTACTATAACCCCTTAAACATGCTTACTACTATAGAGAGTAGTTCATATATTTATAGTAGAGGTAGTTATTATACCTCTTACTAATCCCTCTAGAAACATATTACGCGAAATACTAAGATTAACCTAGGTTCTAGCA